AACCTGCTACATTCGAAAACGCTATCAATAGGTTTGTTCGCGTTGCTTGAAATTCCCAAAAAGTTCTGCACTGAAAATGAGATAAATATATATTCGGATGTTGAAGAAAGTGAAAGCGAAGATACTGAGTGCAAAAAGTTCAAGCAACGCGAACAAACCTGATATATATAATATATCTATATACCATAAATATAAAAATACAGAAATATTTATAAATATTTATAAATATTTCCCATATTTATAGTATGTACAGAGTGATACATACAGTTTCATAAGTTTAGATAACACGAAAGACGAAAGAAGATGTAATTCATTCTATACTTCATTTGAAATATTTTTATCCGCAGACGCGTGACATCTTTTTCTTTTCTAAATATTATATATACATGTAACAACGCGCGAATGACATTATGAAGTAAGTTGAACAGCTTTTTAAATAAAAGATTATATTTGTCTTATATACTTATTTTTAAACACACATTTTTATTTCAGGATAAGTGTTGAGGGATTGATTGTATATTTTCCCTATGATTATATTTATCCGGAGCAATATGCATACATGCTTGAGCTCAAGCGTGGCTTGGATGCCAAGGTATTCCTCTCTCTCTCTCTCTCTCTCTCTCTCTCTCTCGCGATATTTAATTATTAGTTGAAATATGGTTTTGAAAAATGACGGGACGTCACAGTACCTTGCTGGAAAACGCCCAAGGCAATGCTCAACGGTTGTGTCTCCTGAACGCGCCCATTCTTTAAGGCCCTTGCATAATGCTAAGCGATAGCGATAGCGCTAGGCGATATCCAATGAGAGCTTTGCTTTTCCGAAAAAGCAGAGCTCTCATTGGATATCGTCTATCGCTATTGCTATTGTCTAGCATTGTACAAGGGCCTTTACTCTTTGAGCATACTTAAGCCCGAATCACACTAGCGGCTCGCGGCTGCGATTGCGATTGCATTTGTGATTGTGATTTGCTACGCTCCAATCATACTTGCAACTGGTGCTTTCTGATTGGCTGAGGCAATCGCAATCGCGAGCCGCTAGTGTGATTCGGGCTTTACATGTCGGACACCCTGTATAATAGGTTTGTTCGCATTGCTTGAAATTCCCAAAAAGTTCTGCACTGAAAATGAGATAAATATATATTCGGATGCCAAGGTATTCCTCTCTCTCTCTCTCTCTCTCTCTCTCTCTCTCTCTCTCTATTTTCCTTATATATTGTTTTGATATTATTATGCTGAATATTAAGAAAAATTAACAAAATTATGTTATATTTTAGGGACACTGTCTATTGGAGATGCCTTCAGGCACTGGCAAGACGATAACATTGTTATCTCTCATTGTAGCATATATGTTGGAGCATCCATTAGATATTACAAAACTGATTTATTGTTCTCGAACAGTACCAGAGATAGAGAAAGTTATAGAGGAATTGAAGAAACTTATAGACTATTATGAAAAAGAAACCAAAAGCAAGCCAAAAATTGTTGGTTTAGTTCTTAGCTCTCGTAAGAATATGTGTATTCATCCTGAGGTAATTAAAATGCTTTATTTGAGTCTTTGTAGAATTGATTATATTGTAGTTAAGTATTAAGAAATTAATTGCATTTTTTATATTTCTTTATTTTATATATAGGTTAGTAGAGAGCGAGAAGGTAAAATTGTAGATGGTCGTTGCCATTCTCTTACTGCATCATATGTACGAGAAAGACATAATTATGATGAATCTACACCAATTTGTAATTTTTATGAAGGATTTGATATGGAAGGTAGAGAGCAAATTATTCCTCCTGGTATTTATTCCATTGATGATTTGAAAGATTATGGAAAAGAACGTAATTGGTGTCCATATTTCCTTGCAAGATTTACAGTAAGAAACTTCATAAATCTTTTTTTATGCGCACATGATTTAAACTGTGTGATAATCAATACTCTTTGGATTTTCAGATTTTACATGCACAAATTGTAGTTTACAGTTATCATTATTTATTGGATCCAAAGATTGCTGAAACTGTATCCAAAGAACTAAGCAAGAGTTCGGTAGTTATCTTTGATGAGGCTCATAACATTGGTATAAAAACCAACATTGTGTTCATATATTAATATAATATTCACAATAATTTACAGTACAATATAAAGTGTGTTATAAATTTTAGATAATGTTTGCATCGATTCCATGAGTGTGAAAATAAATAGAAAACTAATGGAAAAAAGTTCAACTAACATACAACTTTTAGAGAAAACTGTAGCTGAGTAAGTGTCTCAAATTCTTATTTATTATTAGGATTTAAATATATAATCTCTTAGATATATAGTCAGCTATGCTTTGATTTAGAATGAGAGAAGATGATGTAAATAAATTGAAAGAAGAATACAATAGACTGGTCGAGGGATTGAAAGATGCTCAATTACAGAGAGAAACCGACGTCATTTTAGCTAATCCTATTTTACCAGATGAAATACTCGAAGGTTAGCAAAAATATCATACCTTTTGCACAAGAGAAAAATACTGTTCTATCTAACAAATTAAAATCTTTCTTAAAATGTTTATTTGGACATGTACACAGAAGTCATTCCGGGTAACATAAGAAACGCAGAGCATTTTGTCAGCTTCCTAAAACGATTCGTCGAGTACTTGAAAACTCGCTTACGTGTCCAACACGTCGTGCAAGAGTCACCCGCGGCATTTCTGAGGGACATCCAAGCGAAAGTCGCTATTGAACGGAAGCCATTGCGATTTTGTGCCCAAAGATTAGCATCTCTTTTACGCACAATGGAAATAACAGATCTAACAGATTTCTCTCCGATAATACTGGTGACGCACCTTGCGACATTAGTCTCCACATACACACACGGTTTCACGATTATAGTGGAACCGTTCGACGACAAAACACCGACGGTTTTAAATCCAGTTTTACATTTTAGCTGTCTAGATTCTTCTATCGCTGTCAAGCCTATATTTGATAGATTTCAATCTGTGATAATCACTTCCGGAACACTCTCTCCATTGGATATGTATCCAAAAATCTTAAACTTTCATCCAGTCATAATGTCGTCGTTCACAATGACATTGGCTAGACCATGCCTTTTACCTATGGTAATTTAAAAAAAAAAGATATCGGAAATCAAAATAATCTTGATATTTTATTAATATTATTCTATTTTTGCATCAGATCGTCGGCAAAGGTAATGATCAAGTAGCCATCTCGTCCAAATACGAGACACGAGAAGATGTGGCTGTTATAAGAAATTATGGCCAATTGTTGGTCGAATTTGCTGCGACAGTACCTGACGGCTTAGTATGCTTTTTCACATCGTATTTATACATGGAATCTGTGGTAGCTGCTTGGTATGTATATATATATATATATATGTATATGTATATGTGTGTGTGTGTGTGTGTGTGCGCGCGCCCGCGCGTGTGTATAGGGTATAATGCTGAAATTTTATAACAATAATTTTTGTATAAATTTGTTATAACATTATAGGTATGATCAAGGAGTTGTGGATCAACTTCAGAGGCATAAATTACTCTTTATCGAAACTCAAGATTCGGCGGAGACCAGTTTAGCTCTGATAAATTATATAAAGGCTTGCGAAAATGGTAGAGGGGCCGTTTTACTCTCTGTGGCTCGCGGAAAAGTGTCCGAAGGCGTCGACTTCGATCATCATTTGGGAAGGGCTGTGCTGATGTTTGGTATACCTTACGTGTATACGCAATCGCGAATCTTAAAGGCACGTTTAGAATATCTCAGGGACCAGTTTCAAGTGAGTGTAATGTAATGTTAAAATTGTCATAGAGTGACTTTTATATACGCAAATAAAATATATGAACTTCTGCAATATCTTTACAGATACGAGAAAACGATTTCTTAACTTTTGATGCCATGAGACACGCCGCTCAGTGCGTAGGACGTGCGATTAGAGGTAAAACCGACTATGGTATAATGGTGTTTGCAGATAAGGTAAATATCCTTTAGTTGAAAATAGTTTTTATCAGTATGCGCGCGCAAAAATGTTTTTTAATAAACGATTTAATTACAATTTTCTCTTATATTACATTATTGCAGAGATTTTCGAGGATAGATAAACGGAGTAAATTACCGAAATGGATACAAGAACATCTAAATGACAGTTTATGCAATTTATCTACTGAAGAAGCCATACAGGTAATTATAATTTCTCATTTGATAGTAGGTGCAATTAGTGATTACAATTTTGTTTGTGCTTTATGCAATCAAAATGTTTATTTATATAATTTCCAGATCAGTAAAAGATGGTTACGACAAATGGCACAGCCATTTACACGTGAGAATCAGCTTGGTTTGTCATTACTGACAAGAGAACAACTTGAGAAAGAGGAGGCTGCCAAAATTGAACAAAAAGCGCAGCAAAAATGATAGTGTGACACTAGGCCGAATAATCCAGTTTACTTAGGCAAAATAATCTGCATCATTTACAGAAAATATATTTCATGCTGTTTGGTTGTACAAATGCCTAATTATAATTTGTACTTTTGACCACAATTGTATTCTAAGTAAAATATAAGTAAGATATAAGTAGTATACACTTTTCTAAGATTAACAGTACGTATTTTTTCTTGTTTATGTAAGCTTACTTCATCAAGTTCAAAAATTTATTAGCAAGGTTTATTAAGAATGCAATGCAAATTTAAAAAAAAAAAAGTTTAATAATAAAGTATCATAGAGCGAACTTTCTCTCTCTCTCTTTTCTCTCTCTTTAACAGCGTATAAAATACAACCGTATCTAAAAATAATTTAGCTGATATCACCATCTTACAAGAACTTGATCACCGTCTTGTATCGAATAGTAACTAAGTTCTTGCAGCGGTTTATCCAATGAAATTTCATCATTTGATAGCTGGAAAATGTTACAATATAGCATTCATATATATATAGTTATTAGTGAAAAGAGTATATATATGTGTGTATGAATGTGTTTTTCTCATCTAATAATATTAGACTTACATCTTGTGAAATAAATGATAGAGCAGGTATTTTTCCACCAGTTTTAAAAAGTCTCTGAACAAGTCCGATCATTTTTTGGACTTCCATGTCTTTAAGCAGTTTTCTTTTAATTCCTCTAGGCTGATGTGGATCATCTGGACATACAAACTCCACTGTTATCACATTGGAAACCATTTCTACTTTTGGTTTAATTGAGGGAATATTTGCAATTCCATATTCTGAAAGTATAAAATAGATTTTATTTTTATATATATTATAATCAAATTTTATATTCTATAAAAGAAGATATTCATCATATCAGAAGATAATCTCATAATGTAAAGTTTATACATACTATCAATTAGTATAGGATATCGTGGATGTTCATTTATAAACGATATCCTATTCTCTGTTTCCAGCCATTTTGGTAGATATAATTTTAAATAATCATATTCAGCGCCTCTCCTTTCGACGGGAAATATCTCTGTACCATTTAAGATTTTTAATTTCGCTATTCTTGCAATTATTAACTGTCGAGCAGTCTCTACAGTTTCATTCTTCAAGATGGGATTTTCTTTGAATTTTAAGTCTTCTAAAATTGGCAATTTATCCAATTCATTAATTGACTGCCACTAAAAATATACCAAATAATGATTCTATTAGAAATTTTGAGATATAAGATTTTTTTTTTTTTTATTTCGTATATTAATATATTAATATTATTCGTAATTTAAAAATACATTTACCTCTGATATGTGGTTTTCGGAAATATTTAAGTGACGTAAAATAGGAAAAAGCTCAGTTTTGTCTATTGATGTCAAAGATGATGGAAATCTAATTTTATCTATTTTATTTGAATTCAAATTAAGATATTCTAAGCTGTAAAGAAAATATTATTTTTCTTAATATTATGCAAATTATGTAAACTGTACGTTTTTTCGATATTAAAGCTGAATATTTTATAATGTATTTTACCATGGAAGGGAACCTAGTTTAAGTATCTCATCCCAACTTGATATTAAATTTCCTTCGAGTATTAATGTAACTATTTTCATTAAATTAATATTTGTTATTGTCTCTTCTATAGTCGTAACAATATTAAAAGAGACTGAGAGTTCTTCAACCAATGAAAACATGGATATACATTGTTGCATATCAGACCAATTATAATTCATTTTAGCTATGGTTAGGTGTTTTACTGTTGAAAATGAGTTTTTCAGTGCTGTCACATCTTCTTCAAGAGGCAGATGGTTCTCACTGCAAAAATAAAAATCTATAACTAATTTTTTTAGAATTATATGAATATATCAATTTATCAATATATAACTATTATAGATATTTACATTTCTAACATCGAGTTCAATATCGCATATTTAATAGTCTAGAAAAGTTTGAAAAATACAATCTCAAAATGAACAGCTTTATATGATTCACCTGACATTGAGACGAATAAGAGAATGAAGCTGAGAACATATATCCGCTACAATTTTCCATGAATTTATTAAGTTTTTAGATATATCCAGTTCTTTCAAATTAGGACACAGTTCTTTCAACTCCTCTGGTCTTCCTGCATCGCTTACACACTGTTCCCTCAGCCATACTATTTTCAATTGATCAAATTTACTTTGCTTCTTATTCACTTTAGAGAAACCAACGAAATCTAGGAAGGGTGCATTGATTTCCTTTCTTAGACTCGACACTTCATCCCTGTCTATTCCTGCTAATTCATCATCGATCAGTCCGTAACGCATTTTGATAGCTTGTGGACAAGATATTCCAAACTTGACTTTGCCTGGTCGTATAAAAGAGCCTGATGTGGAATGTCTATCAAACATTATATCCATAGTTAGTATGTATAGAAATACAGATTACTATATTGCCATTATTAATATAATAGTTGTTTTATGCAATTTACCTGGCTTGAAAATATTCTATTCCTTCGTATGTACCATTGTGCTTGCCACGAGTCGAATCGTCCCAATCTATACCCAACCACTTTCCCTTTGTGTTTCCCACAGGTCCGACGTATTTCAATGTACCCCGATATCCGTCACACTCGATACGGCTTGAGATCTCATATTTTTTATCTTCTACCATACCTGACAGATATCACACACAATGACAGTTATTCTCATATGGGGTAAAGAAATGTAAACAAATATATCTCATTACTTAGAACGTATGGATATAACTAACAAGAATTTAATAAGTTAATTTTATATATACATAATATTATAATATATACGTAATAAAAATTTTATACGAGAATACCTATATATATATATATATATATATAAGAGTAAACACGCGCTTGCTTTAGAGATTGCGGTTGACAGTAGTGTAACCTAAAATCCAGAAACGCGCATTGAAAATGAGGAAAAAATAAAATCGCAATCTTGCGCTATCCGCGTGATATACGTCAGGTAGTATTACGGGGAAACAGTAACAACGAAAATCGCGGAAAACCGTTTGTAAATGATAATGTTGGGAGGAAATGTCACATACGGCAATTTGCTGTCTCTATTCTAAAAGATTTGTAGTAGAAGATATTTAGAGATGTTTATCGTCAGTCGATAAATATAGTCATTTTTATCGAATATTCTCGATATTTTTTCTATATTGTTTTATAAAAATATCGACTATTTTTGAAATATCCATATTTTGATGAATATTTTAAATTGTAAGAATAATAAAATAGATGTTCCGATAAATATATATAAATATAGCATATAGATAATGCAAAAATATAGATTAGATAGAAATATTGAAAGATTAATATGTTGCATGTATTGTAACTTGGATTAATCTAATTCTGCAGTAAAATAGTGACCATATGCAAATGAAAAATAAATATTTTGATTTTATTCATTGAGAATTTGGTAAACATTACATATTCTATACATATATAACATAATGTAATATAAGAGAATGTACATTGCTACAAAATATAGTATACATAAATATGTATCATTTCACACTCTCATTAACTTATATAGATTTTGGCTTGCATCTATGTACTGATTTTGTTAATGATCCAATAGTTACTTGATAAAATATTATGTCCCATTCATTACATTTGAAGGTTTATTGCTTCAGAATGCAGGATATGCTAATGGCCTAACACAGTTTTGGCAATGTTGGAACCATTCAGTATTTCGATCCAGTAACCATCAGGATCTTTAATGAAAGCGAGTCCCTTCATCTTGCCATCATTTGGTTTTTTTACAAATTCCACATTTAATTTTTCAAACCTCTCGCATGCTTTTTCAACGTCAGGTACCGCTATCCCAATGTGACCTGTATTTTAAGGAAAGAATGTTATTTTTATTAGGATTATACAACAAAGATTTAATTTTTTTCTTTAAATAACACCAGTATATCCAAATTTTCTTCAATTTAGATAATTGTAAACAACTTTAAGAATAATTAAAATATTTGATCATTTTTCTTTCCCCCCTTACCAAATCCTCTAGGATCTGAATTTCCATTGTGATATTTTGCATCAGGATCTGTTTCTGTTCCCCAATTACTAAAATACAATTATTTTCTGTATAAGAATGCATTAACTTCCAATTTCTAACATAATTTATGAAAAACCATTATGTAAAAAAACTTACTGAGTTAGTTCTATAGTTGCTTTTTTACTGAATGTCCACTCAATATTTTCTTTTCTATCGGTTGGTATTTCTTTCTGATTCTCGTATCCAAGAAAATACAAAGAAAACTTCATTTCTGGAAAATCAAGCTTTTGCAGCAATGTCATACCAAGTACTTCGGTATAAAAGGGTAATGATCTTCTTGGATCTTTGATACGGTACATTGTCTGTTGCATAATATATCCATTTGTAGCAGGATCTGGAGGCTTGCAAAGCTCACGGGTTTCACTATTGGTTAATCCTGATGGTTCACCCATCTGCAATTACAATTATTATTCTTTTATTATCTAAAATAATGAATCAATTCAATATCTCATTTGTGTAATATTTTTTTAACTGTTATAAGTAATTTCGTTTCTGATAATATATACATATATTATTTAACTAATATTAATACACATAATTATAAAGCAAATATGAAAATTATAGTATATTATATGTATCTCTCGTTCCTGTGATTAATTTTTATATTACATTACATTTACGTTGACCATGGGCATGTTATGATATTTTTAATATGCTTTTTTAAAAACTTATCAGCTGTGTGAGATATACTTTTATTTGCATAGTCTACGGATAAACTCATTAGCCTCTATCAAGGACACTTATTCTCTGCAACAATACACACACAGTACCACATTTGGAAAATAACAAAAAAGATCAAATTTTACAAGACCCGATAATTAGTAATATACATATGTTATTTATAATATATATCTCCGCATAACCGTATTTTACACAATATTCAGGTTAGACTATTAAAGTCTAATCTTTTTATTATGGAATAATTCTCACGAACGAAATTCAGCCGGGCAATTCTGGGTACATTTTTTTCTTTTTAATATGCCTCGCCTTTGTCAGTTTTTTACATCTATCAATTAAAATTTTATTCCAGGTTCCTACCTTTTACGCGAAATACCAAAATATGTAAATACAAAGTATGTAAATACAGCACGGTATATACACTGGGACTGGGAACGTTCACATGCGAGATGAATGGGCGCGTTCAAAAAACATAACTGTTGAGCATCGTCTTGTCAACACTCGATGTTGATTTGTTGGTTCTAGAAGTAAGAACCAATCACGTTCGATTGCTATTCAACGGTTGTGTCTCCTGAACGCACCCAACGATGAATACGTACTGTTACGTCCTAGTGACGCTCTTTCTCTTACTATACCTAGGTTAGTGAGAAAAGGATAGCTCTCTATTTTTATAGGGTAACCTGCTTCCACCGGCTATACCCATAGACATAGACATAGTATATCTAGACCGAGTGTTGAGGAGTGGGAGCCGAGGTGCACGTAGAAAAGGACATACTCTGTTTCGTGCCCCTTGCGTTCTCTCTCTACATAATGGTCGTGTTCCGATATTCTGCCAGTACCGAAAATCTATAGTATATGTGACGTAAACTATAGATTTTCAGTACTGGAAGTGAATATCGCATAGACATAGTATATCTAGACCGAGCGTTGAGGAGTGGGAGCCGAGGTGCACGTAGAAAAGGACATACTCTGTTTCGTGCCCCTTGCGTTCTCTCTCGTTTGCACGTAGCATGACGAAAGAGAGCGTTATGCTCTGTGCGAGCGAGAAAGAACGCAAGGGGCACGAAACAGAGTATGTCCTTTTCTACGTGTATCTTTACCCCCACTCCTTAAATAAAGGCAAACGCTCGGTCTAGATATACTATGTCTATGCCCATAGATAAATTTCAATCTTTAATCTTCAATCTCGATCTTCAATATGTAGTCTGATACGGGCTTTAGGGCCATCGCACAAGCTTTTCCATAACATGTTACGTTACATTAAGTACTGACTGTAAACCTAAATTCATACGTAACCTTAAACTTCAGTCAACGCACAAACAAAATTGTAACGTAGTATGCTTTTGTTACGTTACGATTTTCTCTGTGCGTCGACTGAAGTTTAAGTGCCGGTCTACAATAAGTGATTTAAGCCCTAAGTCGCTCGCACGTAGCATGACGAAAGAGAGCGCTATGCTACGTGCGAGCGAGAGAGAACGCAAGGGGCACGAAACAGAGTGTCTTTTTCTACGTGGGCATCGGACTCCTCAACACTCGGTCTAGATATACTATGTCTATGGTGCAAACCCATGGCAGCGGAAAAGCGTAACGCGGAACAAGAGCGGACCAATCGTGAGCGTAGCGAAAACTACAGAACGCTCGCGATTAGTCATGCTCTCGTTCTGCGTTACGCTATTCCGCTGCATGAGTTCGCATCCTAAGAAATTGATCAATCACGATCAAGTATGAGGAGAATACTCGACTGTGATTAGTCAATTTCTTAAGGCTTAAGGCTTAAATCACCTATTGTAGATCGGCACTAAGGACCGTGGCACATAAAAAAACTTAAGCAGTAAGATTTAAGACTTAAGAATTTCAACCATACGGAATTTTCAGCGTAGCTTACGTTTCAATATGGCTGCCTTACTGTTCGACCGTGATTGGTCAATTCGCTTACGAGAAAATCGTAACGTAACAAAAGCATACTACGTTACGATTTTGTTTGTGCTGTGCCACGGCCCTAAGATTACGTACGAGTTTAGGTTTAGAATCAGTACTTAACGTAACGTAATGCATTACGGAAAAGCTTGTGCGGTGGCTCTTAAGTACAATTTTAAGATATCCTAAACCAATCACAGAGCCGTATTAGCATTTTAAGACATTACTTAAAGGGCCGTCTACAATGGCAGTAACAAGGCTGTAAAACTGCCATTGTAGAATGCCCTTAAGACGGTCTTAAAATAAGAACTGACTATGAATACCGGCTATAGACTGGATTGAGTATTGCGAGCATAGACATAGGCCGGTATTCATAGGCCGGTATTCATAGTCAGTTCTTATATTTAAGACCGTCTTAAGCACAATCTTAAGATGTCCTAAACCAATCACAGAGCCGTATTAGCATCTTAAGACATTACTTAAGACGGTCTTGAAATAAGAACTGACTATGAATACCGGCCTAAATCTTCACGCATAAGCATATGTCTGGAATGTCAAAAAATATATATGGGGCGGTGCGTAGCGCCGGACGTATAGAGTCGCAGGCTGGTAATCGAGAGAGATTCAAGGTTCGATTCCGCTCGGGTCCCCCCATCCTTTTCCATATGACTCAAAAAGAAGTTTTCACACATTATTCTATATATAATGCCCCTAGTTTATCATATATTATCCTATCGATGTGATATTATAAAATGGACGACAAAATAATCGAAGAACAGATGAAAAAGATGTTGACCAAGATATTCAAATATGTTTTATTAGTGTAATTTATATAACACAGCCTCATTAGTGAAGAATCGTTTAGCTTTCTTTTTTTCTATCTTTCGACTTTCTTTTCAGTTTTCGAAGTAACGAAAACGTTTTGGTATCTCTTGTTCTTGCTAGTCAAACAGTTAAGAAATCCGTAAACTATAGACCAGACCATAATAGTAATAATACACCATATATAATAGCGTAATTCCTTTATTCTTATAGAACTGTATTACCAAAACTACCCAAACTGAGAAAAAAATAGACAAAAGAGAAAAAAGATCAAACAATAAGAATTTTTCTCTGACAGCTATAAAATTGAAAATTGATTTTACAATCATTTAAATTATCTTTATTCCGCTTTTAATCATCAATTTCAACTTTCAAAAAAAAATAAACGTTAATTTGAAAAACAAAAAAAAGTTTACACGTTTAGAATTAAAATATATTTCTATATTTCACATACCTTTGATAGTTAATTATAAAAGTGTATTTTTCAAAATCTATTCCTGATTTCTCGAAGATTAGATACTAATTCATGAAAAGGGATTCTCTCCAATTCTTTTTATCATAAAATGCTTCCGCGATTTACAATATCAATATTTCAGATAAAAATTATTTATAATAAATATTACATAAACTAAAAGAACAAATAACTAAAATAACAAATTATATTAATTGCTAAATAGATTTACAAGCAAATCAATTTATTATGTCTGTGTAAAACTTGAAAACTTTGGTACTTTATATAAATCTTCAGTTGCCAATTACGAAGATTAAATATCCCATTTCACAGAGATGGATTTCTTTCAATTCATTTTAATTCGTCCATCTTTTATCGGATCACCTTGCGCGCATTTCTTTCTCGATTCGTGCAAATCTAATACGGCTCTGTGATTGGTTTAGGACATCTTAAGATTGTGCTTAAGACGGTCTTAAATATAAGAACTGACTATGAATACCGACCATAGTCAGTTTTTATTTCAAGACCGTCTTAAGTACTGTCTTAAGGGTCGACAGGAGTGACGGTGGAGACCTCTCGCGGGAAGCCGTGAATTACGAATTCGTAGTCTACGGCCGGTATTCATAGTCCGTTCTTATATCCAAGATCGTCTTAAGTGTGGTCTTGGGTCGTCTTAAGATCCCATTCAACCAATGAAATGGCCGCATAGTATCTTAAGATCGTACTTAAGACGATCTTGAATATAAGAACGGACTATGAATACCGGCCGTAGTCTTAAAACATGAAATAAAAAAAATAATATGTGCAAATTATATTAATTAATTTATATTTATTTATAGCTATTTAACCTGTTTCTGTTCTTTGCAATATTTTGTCAAAATTGAAATATACCCATCACGTATACGTGGCTATAATCGCCATTGTTACGTTGCGCATGCGCGAAAAAGGGAGTCCGTCTAACAATATTGGTTCGACGATCTCACATACTTTATACACTGTGACTGTAGTAATATTGGACAGGTTGGATCGTTGGATAGGGGCAAATGCGAAAATCAGCGAAAATATGGCAAGTTCGTCACGGTAAGTTCTGCATAATTACAATATTATTTTCGACAAATTATTATCGATAATGTAATAATTGTCAAACGAATCGTACTCTAGATATTATCGATAACGAATTAAAGTAAAGGTTAAGATCGCGTATAGTTATATGAGATTTTATTTACTGCACCAAGTGTACTTTCAATCAGCATAAGAATAAATTAATTGCGCTAAGACTTTAGACTGTAAAATAAATTTCCTTATAGAAGTAAAAAGCTACATTATGCATCAATATATTAATAACATTTATAACTAGAGATGCGATTGCGTTGAAGAAGTTATTTATTTGTTTACATTTGCACAATCATGCACTGTTTATCTATTGCCTGATTATGTAATTTTACTTAATATATAGAATATTTAACATATAGAACATAGATTTAAAATCTTTAGTCTTAAAACTGTTTTTTACAGAAATGATACAAACAAGATTTGTTGTTACGCACATCCAGATGCCCCACTTATAGAAGATTACAGAGCGGGAGACCAGATTTGCTCGGAATGCGGATTAGTTGTGGGAGATAGGTAACAGCACTACAAATAAGAGCATAAAATTAATTATATAATGAATATAATATTCTTATATTTATTTTCTAACGCCACAGAGTGATAGATGTAGGTTCAGAATGGAGAACGTTTAGCAATGAAAAATCAGGAATAGATCCATCTCGTGTCGGTGGACCGGAGAATCCTCTTCTAAATGGTGCAGATTTATCCACAATGATTGGACCTGGAACAGGCGCTGCGTCTTTTGATGGCTTTGGTACTGCCAAATATCAAAATCGGCGTACAGTCAGTATTATATTTTCTCTTCGAGACATTGCACAATGTGCGAATTGTATTAAACTTAGCAAAAATATATATTCTTTTAGATGAGTAGTTCTGACAGAGCTCTGCTTAATGCATTTCGCGAGATCAATGGTATGGCGGATCGTATTAATTTGCCAAAAACTATTGTGGACAGAGCTAATACGTTGTTTAAGCAAGTGCACGACGGCAAAAACTTGAAAGGTCGCGCAAACGACGCGATCGCTTCCGCGTGTTTGTATATCGCCTGTCGACAGGAGGGCGTACCGCGCACATTCAAGGAGATTTGTGCCGTCAGCAAGATAAGCAAGAAAGAGATCGGGCGATGTTTCAAGTTGATTCTCAAAGCTCTCGAAA